CATCGAATACGTGTTTTATTTTTATGGCAACGATGGCAAGTTGTAGAGCACTGGCTCGCTGTTAGAATCGGTAGAGCAGGCCAGGGCAAAGCTCGGGCGAGCCCAAGGGTGTTAGACCCTCCTTCTGAAAACTCCCACCAGTATCACAAGTTGGCGAGTGGCACTCTATAATTTGCAGTCTTCTCAGTGCTCAGACTCAAAGTGACCAGTGTTTGGTGACTCAGTATCAACTCAGTACCTAGCGGGCATCTAGCCAACATTCAATCGACACTCAATCGTCTGAGTTACTCAAAACTTCGAGTCAGGGTCAATCATCAATCAGAGATATTGCGCGTCATCATAATTCAACCAGCAAAGCAGACAACTCAGACACATCTCAGTCACGGTCAAAAAGACTAGGAAAATCGTCAGAAGATCAGCAGCAAGGTTGTCATTCCTATGACTGCAGTTCAATCATTTTCAGTCAGTGGGTCGGTGCTGACCAATCTCAATCAGATAGCCCTCAACGATGTTTTTCGGTACCAGTATGTCAGCGCTGTTGGCTTCAGCCGAGGGGATTTGTCAGTCTTCGTTGTCCTTACCAGTTTCGCTAGCGGCACTATCCACGACCTGAAGCCCTATGTGAAGCGGGGCAAGGAGGTTCATGATTCCTTTGATTCAGTCTGGGTTTCGACAACCAGGTACCTTGAGGAAAGAGAAAGGGGGCTTGACGAGAGTAGTACCAAGCTGATCCGCAACTTTGGACCCAAACTCTACTCTGACTATCCCAAGCCTCCAGTACCCTTCACTCTTACAAACGACTCTTGCTGTGGTGACTTGGTGGATCTAGCTAAAAGGTACGTCTCTCCAACAGTGAGAGACTACGAGGCAGTGATTGTGCCCTCTGAGTTCTGACATCTCCGATGGGGAATTTTCTCTCAACCGTACCTTCCTACCCTGTGGAGAAGTTTTGTGCTATGGTTGACTTCAGAATCATGTGCCTTGGATGAAAGAGTTCATAACTTGCAGGCTTCAGGCGGCTCTATATTAAGAGACCATAACCTCAGATAGTACGGAGACATGGCCGAAAGCTCAAGCGACAAACAACAAATTGAAAGATTGAGTGTGAGGTTCAGATGGATGAGTGAGGACTCCTGACTGATGTTGGCCATATTTTCTACATGTGTACTTTGACTCGGAGACTATTATGAGTTCTCATTCTTCCCTCACTTAACCTTGTTATTGCTCGAGTCAGTCAATCCTCCATCGTCTACATTGCTTGCTTGATGATCATACTCTCCGGTGATTATGTCACAGTTCTCAAAACTAGTAAATTGGCAAAATTAATGTATGCATGACACACCCGAATTTACTATTATTATTTGCATGATTCTTGTTGTTCTAAATCAAAATAAAAGATTCCTAAGACCGGGGACCGGCAAAGACCATAATTGAAGGGTCTCGCTCGAAGCCGGGTGCACACAATAGGAAGAGATTTGTTTTAAT